TCCCGATGAAGGTCGGCATTACGGACGTACCAAGGTGCGTTAGCAGCTCGACAACAGAAAAGGTTTTGAACTACTTGGAGTACATTAATAATTTTAGGGTCGGCGTTGGCAAAAATGGGGCCCGCGTAGGACATGACTGGTCGTATACAGACCTTATAAAGGGTACGCTTGTTTCTGAGGGACAGTTTACTGTGTCGGCCCAACATACTGTTGAGCCTATTCAGGTAAAAACGTGCGTGACGGGTTATTGTTTTGACGTGGGGCCTGAAAGTGAGCCTTGTGTCTAGAGTGACAATTAAATATTTGGCAGACGTATGCCAGGGGACAGGGGTCCCTAGCATACGTATTGGTGGAGTGTTTTTGAGACGGCGTCGTTTATAATCGAAGTGAACAGCGGAGCTCTTCTCCGGGTTCACATCGATGCGCCATTTTTTGAAACAAGCTCCTAGGTCGTCAACTGACTTTTGAATCTTGTTCCGTGTGAAAAGTAGCGAGATACCTTTACAGTAGAGAGCAGTGTCGTCTGCAAAGAGGGAGAGCTGAATAACTTTCGACGGGATGGGAATGTCGTTGGTGAACAGGATGTACAGCAGAGGAGCAAGTACTGAGCCCTGAGGTACACCAGCTTTGATAGTGCGCTGTGAAGATAGCGTGCCTTCGTGTCTAAAACGAAAGGTACGATGCTTTAGATAAGAGGCCACGAGACGTACTAGACGATCGGGGAGACCTATTTTGTATAACTTGTAGATAAGGCCTGTATGCCAGACTCTATCAAAGGCTTTAGCTATGTCGAAAAAGACCGCGATGGTCTTGTGACGACGAGGATAAAAACCGCTGAGGATATATTCCACAATACGGTGAACTTGTTGGAGACATGAGTGTTTCGCTCGGAAACCGAATTGATGGGGAATGATAAGAGGGTCACCGTCTGTGGGAAACAGATGGCGCCTCATGCGAGTTTGGATGACTCTTTCGAAGAGCTTGCCCATGGCCTTGAGGAGGCTAATAGGCGATGACTGGAGGGGAGGTTGAGAGGCTTGCCTGGCTTGGGAATACCAATCACAGTTGCCTCTTTCCACGTGGTGGGAAAGTAACTAAGGTTGAAGCAGGCGTTGAAGATAATAGATAAAAAGGTTGATGAGGGATGAAATCTCATCATTGAATACAGAGATAGGTTCGGAGGCGGACCTCATCCTCCACTGCCTGGACGTGTGAGGGGTCGACTGGTTGAGAGCTAGGAGAGCATTATGCGGCCATGGTGTCTGCAAAGCACTCAGCCTTTTCCTCGTCCTGAGAGGCAACCGTACCGTCGGGACGTGAGAGAGGGGGAGTGTGGGTGATAACGCCTATGCGGAGGGCTCTAGCCATCTGATATTACGCTGTATGAGATGGGGAGATATTCTCCATGAGTTTAATCTTTTCGAGGTCTCGAAATTTAGAGAGGTTGAAACGGAGTTCTTGTTGAAGTTCTTGACGATTGGCCGTGCTCCTATATTCAGAGGTGGGATATTTTGCTGCTCTCCGGAAATTAGCTTCCTTGGCTTTTAATAGGTTGCTAATATGTAGGGGAAGCCCACTATTGTTAGCAACCGGGACGAACCTTTCGTTCTCCAAAAGGAAGGATTTAATAAGGGTGGAGAGTGAATCGACCGCGGTGTCGATTTTTTCGGGACTGTCTAAGTCCGACGATAGGGGGATGATAGAGTCCTGTGAGTCCAGAGCTTTAGCTAGGGACTCCTTGAATCCCTTCCAATTAGTGAAGGTTTTCGTGTGCGTTGGGGGAGGCGGCTGATGGCCAAGAATGAGGGAGACCGGTCGGTGATCGGATCCTAGATCGTCTAGTGTCTCGATTGCCCTGAGGTTGAGAGAAACTCCTTTGAGTAACGCAAAATCCAGTACATCGGGGGCGTGATCGGTGTTATCGGGAAAGCGAGTAACACCGAGGGGACTGTGGACGGTAATATCAAGAGACTGCGTGATATCGAGCAGTATCTTGCCACTAGGGGAGGTGGTACGGCATGTCCATTCAGTATGCTTGGAGTTAAAATCTACAAACATAATGACTGAATTGCCTAAAGATAAAATAGCCTCAAAATCTATTTTGAGGGGATGGGTTCCTGAAGGGATGTAACAGGAGGCTATGAGGATGGACTGATGTCCAGTCATAGCTAGCCTGCATACCATGGCTTCCATGTTGGTAAGCTGCGGAGTAGAAATGGGCGAGGTGTGAAGTGTCTTCTTGTAATAGATGGCCGTTCCGCCGCCTCGGCGGTCGGGTCTGTCATTATGAAGAAGAGAAAAGTTTTTAATAGAAAGGCCTTTAGTGTCCTTAGTTTTGAGAGAGATTAGTGATGAGTTTTAGGTCCTGTAGGAGGAGGAAATCGGCTTCATGATTTCGAAGAAAGAGCTTAACCTCTGGGAGGTTATTTCGCAAACCGCGAATATTAAAGGATCCAAGCGATAAACCCTTAGGTTTGATACGACCGTGAGACTTTGGTAGAGCAAACTGCTCTGTAATTGTGAAGTTAAGTTAATTAAGTTAACTTAACTTACAACGAGCACAAAATATTATGATGCTCTGTAAGAGTGAGGAGACGGTCATGAGGGGACCTCGCAGCGCGCAATTTGCGTGCTAACACAGCGATTTTCCCACCGTCGATGTTCCTAATAGCGGAATACACCGTTTTTAGGTCGTCAATTGAGGGCTGTGATTGCTGTGGGGCGGAGGTTGTCCGCGGTGGGTCTGCCTTTTTGGGGCCCCAGGGAAAAACTGGAGGCTGCATAGGCTTAGAGAAGCCCGGAGGGGGGCTGAATAATGCCATGAGGGGGGCTTAGGGGGACCCTGAGAGGGCCGAGAGAAGCCCTGGATGGGCTGAGAAAGGCCCTGACGGGGCCGTTGGTAAAGAGCCGGGAATGAGCGGTCATTGACCGGCAGTGGAGATTGCCTACTGGGGCGAAGCTGAGGTGCGTAAGGGTAGCCTCTGTAGTTTGCCAGATGGCCTGTTTGTTTACACAGGACACATGCGGGATGGGATTCGGCGTCTTTGGGCCGAGGACACTCTTTGGTGTAGTGGGGTTCAAAGCACTTAGTGCACCTGGGTGGGGCGGAGCAGTTGGCCGCCGCATGACCATATTGCTGGCAGCGATGGCACTGCGCCGGGAACCCGCGCCTATGTGGGGGCTCAACCCTCACTTTCGACAGACCACACACTGTGCGTACCTGCCGGAAGATGGCTTTTGCCTCCGGCACGTTGGTTAAAATGACTAGGGCAAGATTGAACCTCTGGCCCGTTTTGCTGTGCATTTTGTGCACGGCTTCTACGGGGAAACCTTGGGACTGAAGGTCCTCAAGGATTTCCTCGTTGGAAAATTTGATGGGGACGCTTCGGATGACGGCCCTGACTTTACGCTCTTCCGGAAGAGCGTACGTATGATACGAAACTCGTTCGGCTGTGAATAGCCTGGTGAGTTGACAGAAGTCATCGATCGAATTGGGGATGATTTTAATAGTCTCCCCGAGGTTGATGGCGTGGTCATATTTAATGCCTGCGTCGTAGCAGGTCTTCAATAATTTGGTGAATCTTGCCTTGTCTCTTAGGAAGACAGGGGGCGGGACTTGCTTCTTGGCAAGGACTGGAGCACAGAGAAATGCTGGCTTGGTCGGAGCGGGGATGTCTAGTGACATAAGTGGGGCTGAGGTAGCGGCGGGGGCTGCGGGGGCAGAGGCGGCAGCGGCAGCTGCGGAGGTTGTAGGAGCGGCAGGGGCCGCTGACACAGGAAGGGTGCGTTTTTTTGCGGCGCGTTTGCCGTTGCGCTTGGAGTTCACCGTGGTGAATGAAGACTCCCCGGTTTCGTCGGAGTCACAGGATTCCGATGAACCGGTGCCAGAATTGCTGGCGGGCCTCTTCCGGGAGGCCGACGCAGAGGACTCGGAGCATGCGTACTCTCATCTCTAAGGGGGCAAAAGAGTTCTTAGTCTCTAGGTATGTCGCGATTACGGGCGCCGGTTGGAGTACCTGAGGGGCACGGGAAGTAACATGGGCGGCGATGCCGACGAGGGCCGTCTCATCAAGGTTAAGGCCCAGATCAAGAGTTTGGTTTAGGGCGGCGACGAGGGACTTAATTAGGCTAACTGTGGACATGTTGGGGGCAGTAATTCTACGAACAGTAAGGATTGGGACGGCTCCCTGTTCTCAGTAGAACAGGGACTTGAACACGAGACGTACTACGATACAATATACACGTATAGCAATACAAAAAAACAAAGAATAACAGAGAAATAACAAAAATCAACAATAAAACAATAACAATAAAAATAACAATAAAGTAACAGTAACAAGCGTAGGTCAGTCAAACCTCCCCGCCCGAAGACAGGGGGGCAAGAACTGTTAGCGTAAATGACTCACCAATGCGTCGACGCTGTACAGCGCGAGCAGGACAGCAGAGGCGCGGGAGCGAGATAGCACTACCGTACGGGAGCGAGAGCACGGACTACCTGGACACGACCGCTCGAGAGCGGTGCCACAGGCGGAATGTGCTCTCGCGGTAGCTAGATATGCAGACTTTAAAAATACTTTAAAAAAGACGACTCCGTGGCGCAGTGGCCTAGCAATGAGTGGCTGCGCTGGGGTTCGCGGGTTCGAATCCCGCACGGAATAAGTATTTGTATGGCTTGTCTGGTTTGTCCTTGTGCTATTTATGTTTGTAAACTGCCCCCACGAAACAGGAGAAAATCCTAGTGTAGGGGTAACGTTTAAAAAAAAGAAAAATCTTGTAGTACATTTGAAACACAGACATAGCACTAGTAAATAAGGTCGGTAAGTAGAAGAAAGAAAATCTGCTTACCTGCGATTTTGAAAATATTTTGGACGCGGCTGACACTTCTTTGATTTAAAAGCTTACCAGAGAGAGGTCTGTACCCAGATGTCGGACGTATGAAAGCTCTTATTGTTCTTTAATGAAAGAGCATGGCGGGTTCTTGTACTTGTTTTTTATTTCAGGTTAAAATAAGAATACCAAAAAGCACTTCAAAACCACCGAAATTAACACCGTCTCAGCTTAAGTTGCAGCAGCAATGCACCTGTGATGATGGCCGCTCTATCTGCTCGGAGACTTGCGGTTTCCCGGGTCAGGAAGCGCTTGAAGGTCGACGAGGCAACATGCTTAATGTTCAAGTATTAATAAAGTTTTCTATGCTCACAATTTGTAAATTATTGCCTATAAAAGTCCACTGTTAATTATAGGCCTTCCCCACAGATTACTGTCTCATGGGCAAGGGGGGGGGATTCTGTTATAGTTTTCACTTTCACCCTTCACTGGCGGGTAAGTAACCGCCAGTTCGCGTTTGACGCCTCATGAGATATCCACAGCACGATACTAGGAGGATATTTTTACATCGCCTCTATTCGGTTATACTACTTCCAGCTCTTTCCACTTACCGCATCCAGCGCATAGCGGCTCGAATCGTTGACGATCGTGTACTTTCCGATCGCCTCGATTCACTGGCGCTACGAAGAGATGTTGCGTCTCTTTGCATTTTCTTTCGCATATACCACGGGGAGTGCTCTGAGGAATTGTTGGGATTAATCCCAGCCGCCAAATTTCGTGAACGCACTACACGGCAAACGTCCCGACACCATCCACACCATCTGGATGCTTGGCGGTCCACCACTGTACGATTCACAAGGAGTTTTCTTCCGCGTACGACCACACTGTGGAATAGTTTACCACCGGCGATTTTTCCGGACCGATACGACCTGGAGAACTTCCTTAAAAGAGCTAACTCGTCTCTAAAGGGCCGGCAACGCACCTGCAATTCCCCTGGTGTTGCAGTTGATCATGGGCGGCGGTAGTCACTTAACATCAGGTGAGCCGCATGCTCGTTTGCCCCCTCTTCTATACAAAAAATACTCGCAATTTGAACTCTGTATAAAAGTAGTAAAGTTACAGCCTATATACGTCCCACTGCTGGGCACAGGCCTCCCCTCATTACTGAGAGGGTTTTTAGGGCAAGGAAGTCTCCGCCGCGCTACCCCAATGCGTGTTGGCGTACTAAAGTACGCCAACACGTAAACGTCTTCGAAATATTTTTTTCTTATTCCTCAAACATGCGTGTTTCATCACGACGTTTTTCTTCACCGCCGAGCACGTGGTAAATCAGCATTTAAAATTGCAATTAACAATTTCATTGGTGCCGGCTAGGATCGAACCTGGGTTACTCGCGTTCTGTTATATTTACAGCGAGCGTTAACCATCTCAGCTACCACGGCTGACTGGAACTAACTGGAACTTTATGTAACGTAATTTAATTGCTTGCAAAACTAAACAAAGTTATTTTATCGCCAATATACATTATTATTTGATGAGACCTAGACCGCTCTGTGTAATGTGATTGCATTAGAAAATCCATCACACTATTTTGACTCAAGGTTAGTAAGGGGCAAATATGGGGAATGCTAGAAAGATAAGTTCGCACAGGGCATGATTGGCAGGGTGAAGAACTTTTTTAGCAAACGATCTTTAATAATTGTCTTTGAAAGCTGCTTGTCCGACCTATAATGACATACGCCCAGTATATATGGGTATTCAGTCAACAGCACAGTTGTGGTGAGGTACCAGACAAACGTTTGGGCCAGTCGGGATCAAATCACAAATCTCTTACTGCAGCCAATCTCCGAATGGTGTCAGTTTGACATTCAGCAAAATTATTAAATTTTAACATAACTTTTATCGCTGTTATTATATTGTGACTTGCATAAACAAATTCCTCTTAATGGCAGGTTCCTGACGATATCTGTGAGGCGCTAACAAATCGGACGGCAGTCAACTCTGAGCTCGTATACAACATGAGGGAAGGTCATGACAATCTATGTAACGTATGCAATGTTACACCCAAGGACGCTCCTAAGGGTGTTCAGGCACAGAAGGTGCTACATCCTGACAAGGACGTATTTATTCTTAAAATTGGAAAGCAGACTGATGAACCTAACCGCACTGGAAATATAGAAGTAAGTATTAATTAAACTAATTCTCTATTGTGTTTTCTTTTAAGAATTGAAAGGAGCTAGAGAAAATCGAAAACTTACAAGTGTAGTTAGTGTTAGTGTCCAAGTTATGAAATGAAATCTCTTTATTTTTCGAAGTAAGTGACTAAGTATTTCTTCGTCAAACGTATTATTTTTAAATCTACTAGGGTTTCAAAAATAGGGTTGGAAAAAAGATGTATTCAAAATATGTATCTTAATATTGAATTTATTTTACTTATATTTCAATTACATTACGTAATAAATATACGTATCACACAATAAATATAATAAACGAGCACACAGTTTACCTTACGGTAAACAAGTGTTGTGGCTTTTATAGCAGCGCATATAGAACTTACTATTATTTCATCATCATCACCATCATTACAGCCCTTCACAAGTCCACTGCTGAACAAAGGACTCCCACAAGGTATGCCACAGAGTACGGTCCTGAGCCATCTGCATCCATCGACTTCCTGCATGTCTTACCAGGTCCTCACTCCATCTAGTGGGGGGTCGCCCTACACTACGCCTTGCGGTACGAGGCTGCCACTCGAGAACCTTTCTTCCCCATCGGATATCGGTTCTTCGAGCTATATGGCCGGCCCATTGCCACTTCAGCTTACTAATCCGTTGGGCTATGTCGGTCACTATGGTTTTACTGCGGCATTACTCCTCATTTCTGAGTCTATCACACAGAGAAACTCCAAGCATAGCCCTCTCCATAGCTCGCTGAGCGACTTTGAGCGTCCTCATACGGCCAGCAGTGAAGGACCACGTCTCAGATCCGTAAGTCATCACTGGCAACACGCACTGGTTGTACAATAGTTTTCAGAGTTTGAGGTATAACCTGACGAGAAGATGTGTAGTAATTTCCCGAACGCTGCCCAGCCAAGTTGAATCCGTCGATTGACCACTCGGTCGAAGTTGGACTTACCTAATCGGACATTTTGTCCCAGGTAACGTATATAGGTGTGATATGGACATTAAACATGATCTTTGTTTTGTTCATGTTCATCTTAAGACCTATCCGTTGGGAGAAACCATTGAGGTCATTGAGCATATTGCTTAGGTCCTCCAGCGATTCTGTTTCTGCTATAAGAACTATATCGTCGGCAAATCTAAGGTACGCGCCATTGATGTTAATACCGTATCCTTTCCAGTCCAGTAGCTTGAAAACGTCTTCCAATGCAGCGGTGAAGAGTTTCGGGGATATAACGTCACCCTGTCTTACACCTCTCTGCAGTTGAATAGGTTTCGAACTCTGGTTCTGGATAGAATATAACTAAAATTCCATCTTAGTACTCAAGACTACTATCACTTCTGCAGTTTTCTTTTTTGTTTATTGGATACAGGTGTTCATTCATGGACTACCATTGTCATTTGCAGTCAAGGTTGAATGCAATTTTATTTCTCATTCAATTTGAGTGTTATGACTGACTTTCAATTGGGAGAATGACTCTTCCGTCTGCTTATATTATTATTTGAATCACGACAATTGACAGTCTAATAAAGATCACAGACCAACTAGGGTTACATTGTGTATTATAATTTAATTGCGATCAATCAGCTGATTGAATAAAGTGTGCGCGACACTCACTCTATTTTTAGGTGGAACTGGTAACTCCTCGTGCACCGGGAAAAGCATTGCCTGCCACCCACTGCTGTAAACAGATACAATGTGAGGAAGAGGACATTCCATTTTGCATGCCATGCAGGACTTGCAGAGTTGGTGCACCGAGGAAGAGAAAGACCAAGCGTACTCGATATTGCAGATAAAAATTCTTAATTGAGCTTTTATATAACCAATAACATTATTTTATTATGTTTCTGTTTTCATTTTTAAAATAAAAAGGTGTCCCCTATTAGCAAACCTCTTTTATTATATATCATAACTTATTTATGCCATCTATCCATTAAAATAGTTCGTACCAGTATAAATAACACCAGAAAATGGTTGGTATTTATTCTCATTCTACGGTGGGCTATATGTTTAAATAAATAAAAAATATCACATGGGGGTAAATTTCAAATTGTGCTATGTTTTTTTTATAGAATAAGGGTGACAAACGAGCACTCAGTCTACCTGATTGTAAGTGGATGCTGTGGCCCATAGACATCTACATTTATCTCCAATTAAGAATCAAAATGCAGATGCGTTGCCAGCCTTAAGGACTAAGATGGAATGCCTCGTTTCCATTAAAAAGGGTCTTCGGTTTTCTACACTCACTATGCGAAACACAGCAACAATAAGATTGCTATTTTACGTTGGTATTCTGTGAGAGCGTGGTATTCTGTGCGTGAGTGATCAGAGCTCAAGGAAAACGAGATACTAAAATAGAATATAAGTTTTATATTCTAAAGACATTCAAGCTTTACCTGTCATTCTCTCCAATAGCAACAGCTACCATAGATGTGAGGAAGCACACCCAAGAATTATGAGCCCACAAAGGCATGGCGGTTGTGGACGATGGAGTGGATGTGGGCACCTTGAGCACAAGCAAAGTTGAGGCTCAGTGTTTAGTTTGATTGAAGTCCTGATGATAAATAACTGTATAATAATCCATTAAATCAGCCCATAAAGGTCCACTGCTGAACATAGGCCCCTCCCGTAGATTGCCTTATAGGAAGGATTTTGCCATAGTTGCCACCCTTGGCAGGCGGGTTGGCAACCGCAGTTCTTATTATTTTGAATATTTATCAGGAAGATGCTGGCGCCCATCTTCTGTTTTTGTTTATCTTTGTCGCCTCTCGCCACGCCCAAGGGACGATATGGGGCGGTGGATATTCTTAAACCGCTATTCTACACGGAAATAAGTTAAAGCTTATTATTGTATGTTAATCTTACACTAAGTAGACTTGACATTTAGGCAGTAAGTTATATTATGTATATATAGATAAAATTGAAATGTGCGTATGTTATATCGAATTAACTGCCATTTATCAAGCGACATAAATAATCCATTTGTACAAATTTTGTCTGTCTGTCCGAGATAATTTTCGTAATGCCTCAACCACAGGGGGAACCCCATTTTACAACCGTAGGAGACTTGAAGAAAAATGACATTTCAAAAACGAAATTTTATTTTCTTGCGTCAAATAAATACATGTATCTCATTTTAACTGAAGACGTAATATGGTACTGTTGCAAAGAAATAAAATGGTACTGTTGTGCTCGGCGGGAGATCTCCCCTTTACCCGCTGGGCAAGGTGTTCTGCCCGGGGAGCGGCCAACACTCCGTGTGATAGTTCGGAGATGTTCTATATATACTGTTTATGATTCGGAATTTTGATAGCGTGATTTAGGCTTCGGTGTGTTTCATTGCGGCGCGACGAAAACGCCGCCACAGTACTCAACTGGCTTTTTAATATAGTACCGTATTATCTTTTACCAAAGGATGAGATCATACCAGAGGCTGAGTCAATTTTTATCTACAACTGGCGATCCGCCCCGGCTTCGCATAGGTGATTTCTGGATCACGACAACAGCGCCACCTACCGGGTCCAAATATGAATCTAAGACATCTATGGACCCATCCAAAAACACAAAAAATTACATCAATATAGGTCGAGCCGTTTTCGAATTTTAGCGAGACCATCGGACAACAATTGATTTTCATACGAGTTTTCAACATCATACTGACTTATCACACTTGATAGTATCTTGGTGATGTCTTCAAATAAAAAATACATATGTGACACAGCACTAACTATCAGTTTCATATCGGCTGATCCCATGTCACATCGACTGCACTAAACTTGTCGCCTTGTATATCAAACATTTGCAAGCAGTAGCAGCAGTCACAATTCGCGAACGCAATTCAACTCTAAAATGCTTTATTCTTTAAATTATTATGTCATATGGGCCTTAAATGTGGAGTCTCCTCTTTGCGCTCAACAAACGCTCAAACTTTATTATTTACAAGAATCTAATTGGCGATCACGCGGTTTAGATGCAAAAAAAATAGTGCGCTGGTAACAGTCAAGTTTCACTCAGCGTTAAAAAAAATCTCAAGAATTACACTTATTTAAATAAACTTAAAACAATATCTAAATGCCATAATTTCATCCAAATCGTAAGAACCGTTTCCGAGGAGCCAGTTAGATATATATATATATTTACACAAGATTGCCCATAAAGTATTAAGATATTCGGCGATAAGTGATCCGTCTTCATTGGTACTACCGATACCAGCTTATTTCTGCCGCCAATTTGTAATGCACCATCTACTATTCTCGATATGAACTTGGAAAGATCAGAGAGCAAGTATAACTGCAGCCATAGTAAAAAACAGAAACCGCCAACCAACTAAAATAAAAAAAATATAAGTACATTGTAAATTATTGTGTAGTAGGTACTAAGTGAGGACTCAGTATTGGCGAAGGTTGACTACTATTTTTATCGGAAGATTCCAGTTCTTTTTGCAAATATTTTTGCCCTTTTGCGAACTGTGAAATTCCGCGGAAGTCATTTGAAAGTTAACCTGACGTTAAACTATTAATTTCACAGTTTGTTACAATAAGTTTTTCTTTTAATTACATCGGTCCCCAAATCTGATATCACTCAAAAATTTCCTTACACTATATGTTTGTTGGCAGTGGTTGTAAACAATTTTTAAAATTTTATAGGTCAGTGCTTAACTACTTACTATCCTACATGAAGGTAAATGATGATTCAGCGAAAATGCCAAAGCGCACTGACTACTACATAATCTTTAAATTTTAGCACTACTATAAGTTTTGCCTTTCTTTTCCTTCAAAAATTAAATCGAACATTTACTATTTAGTCGGCGGAGTATGTTAAGCGTTAATTGCGGTGCTGAGGGGCCGCAGTTTCGAATCCCCCACGGAACAAGAGGTAGTATTCATGTGCAATAAATTATTTTTTTTATCCAATAATTAAATTATTGGATAAACAGAACAGTGCAGTTACAACAAACATATTATTGTTCTGACGGGAAACTCTTGTCACAGGTTGTCAA